CTTTTTGAATTATTTTTATGCAATTTATGTCAAATTATAATTTGACAAATTTATTAAATTAATCATAAGAAAAAACATATAATAAATATTTCATTCGATAAATCAATTTATTTATGAAGTTTAAATTCTTAATCAAAGATCCGAGGATAATTTCTCTTCACCTAACCTCAAATTCTTATCTAATATACATTTCATGTATTTTATTAATTAAGAAAATACTATAAATAAATTATAAAACAAACAATAATTTAATTGAATCAATTAATTTTTTTATAATGTCAGATAAAATTCAAAATCAAAGATACAAGAATAATAATAATAAAAAAAAACATGAAACAAATGTTAATCGTAGAATGAATCAAAATGAATACCCAAAATACAAGATCTCCATTTTACTATTACTTTATTTTTGATTTTTTTTGTCGAAGAATAAGTTTGTCCCTGTCGTCGTTTTTATCGAGGTGTTTTTTTCGTTGCATTAGGGTTGCGTCCAACCTCGACAAATTGGATTCGATAATTGCGAGGTGAGATCGCACCAACCTAAGTTACGGAATCCCTAGTAGCAGGATTATTCTCGATCAAGGGGAAAATCAAGAGGACTAGGAGAAGAGAGGAATGAAGGACGAAGGGATGAAGAAAGAGGAAGAGGAGGATAAGGATGACGACCATTGAACGTATCCTCCAATTCTAATCATCTCTGATTATTCCAAGACCAGAGAAATATACGATGTTATCAATTTGATTTATATCATCTCAAATTTTCATTATATATATATATATATATATAATATTTAATCGATAATATTTTGTTGAAAATGTTTATAATAAAATAATAGAAATTATTTATTTATTTTTTGAGATAATATAAATAGTTTGTTAAAATTATAATTTAAAATGTTATAATATTTATATGAACAATGTAATTAAAAATTTAATATTATAATGGTTTATAATCATTAAATAAATAATATTTTATAGTAATTAAATAGTATTTTGTGTACAATACTATTAATTAAAATTTCTAAAATTATTAATTACAATAATAAATAATAACAATATATACATGTATATAAAATAATATTAAAAATATTATTTTAATATAAGACAATATAATTTTATATTTAATATAAAATAATGTAAAAAATATATAAATTAAAATAATAATATAAATATATATAAATATAAAAAAATTTATATAAATTTAAATATTAAATTGAAATTTAATGTACTATAATATTAAATAAATAATTATATGTAAGATATTAAATTTTTATAAATAAATTATATAAATATATAAAAATAATATAATACTTTATACTTCAAATAAATGAAAGTACTCCCGTGTAACATTAATTACCAAAACCATATATTTAATAAAATAAATATTTAATAATTCACCTAAATAATAAAAGAAAATTTTAAATACTCAATTAACAAAAAAAACTATACATCTTTATATTCTTACTATCCAAATAATTAAAATCAACTCTACAATAACTCGAATAAAACCAACAACATGAGCAACAACGATTTAACCAGTTAATAAATATTTCCAATTCCCAATTGGATTACAAACAATATAACCATCACAAACGTTAAACAATTCAAAATAAAAACGTCAAAATGAACTATTCTCATTTCTTTATATAACAAAAAAAAAACCTACCCAAAATTGATGCACTTTATTATTTCCTTCTTGGGACTGAAAAAAAAAAGAAATAAAAATAAAAAAAAAAATAAAATAAAAAATTTACTTTCAAATAACATTGACGAATCATCCTAAGGAAAAAAAAGAACAATAAAATTAAATTAAAAATAAAAAAATAAAAAATAAAAACCAGACCTGCGATGACGTTGTTGGGGCCAGTGATTGAGGGGAGACTGAGGGTGGTGGTGGTGGTGGTGGTTAATGGAAGGATGGAGGATAAAAGATACTTCGAAATAAAGAAAAAATATATATTTGGGTCAAATGTCATGAGATTAAAAAAAAATTTCTCGATTAAATAATATCGATTTACTCATACGTTTGCAAACGAGACACACACAGATACACATATTTATATCTATGTAGGGACACATCGAAAGAGGATTCTGACTCCGGTTCCATGTACACGTTTTCAACCACATTATGTACGCAATATGGGTACGTACGGTGAACCACGAACGATCACCGCGGATCAGCAGTGGTTAAATCCGTCCACGTAAAAGGTTCCGTTTAAATCCACGAATCCCACGAATCCTCGTTCACAGGAATTTCTATCGGTAAAGTGAAAGAGAGAGATAGAAAGAGAAGAGGAGGAGGTAGGAAGAGGAGAACTGTAGTACCGGGTCCGGGCCAGTAGTCCAACGCGTATCACGTATAACCGATTCTATCGTTATCGAATCCTACGAAAGGCGTTATCCAATTTTCTAGGTAACCATTGTAAAAGTGAAAATAATGGAAAACAAATAGGATTGAAAAAAAAAAGAAGAGAAAAATTAAGAAAAATTAAATTATATTATAATTAAAATGTTGATTTCTTGATGAATGAATTACGAACAATATTTGAATACACTGTAAACTTTTGTATGGTTGAATTTAATCTGATGATTTAAATCATTAATGATTGCTGAATACTTAATTATTAATTCTATATTATTATGTGTGTAATATAAAAGGGAAAATATATATAATATATATTTTTTATAAAATATAAAAATAATAAAAATTATTAACAAGGTTAAGCCACAATAAATAAAATATATATATTTTATATAATATGTGTGTATTTTATATAATATTATATAATACTATAATAATATTTTTATTTATATATAATATATAAATTAAATAGTAATATAATAAAATATAAATTAAATAATAATATAAAATAATATATATGAATTAAATAATATATTTATGAAAAAAAAATATAAATAATAGAATTAAATAATTAAATATTAACATAAGAGTGAAGTTCAACCTTTTTTGTTTTAATCAGTTAACTCTAATCAACTTTAGTAACATAAATAATAATATGGAAAAAAAAAAAAGATAAAATTAAAATAAAATATAAAAATAATAAAAATAATAGAAACAATGAAAATAATAATACAAAAGTTATCCACAATAAATTTAACATGACTATATTCTATTACAAAACATATTATTTCCCATCATGGTTTTGATCTAACTAAATAACACGAATAATTCATTTATTCTGTTATAATTGAATGAAAGAATAATGTAATAAGAAACGAAGAAAAATAATTTGATCCTAATTAATGGAATACAAACATCAGTAGAGTAGTTCGTTTCCTGTCTGGTTTAGGTCAAACCAGTTTACTAGAATCGTTTATGAATATTGAATAATTAATCATCCTACCTAACAACCATCATAATATCTACATATACATCTCAACATATACATACATGCATACATATATATATGTATGAATGTATTTACTGTAGTATTATATCGTTGAACCGATAATTAATTAAATTACAATCCGAACACATCCACGTTATATCATTAACTTACTCCCAACGGGTAAAATGGGTAAATAAGTAAACCCATATCCTTGAATAAAAGATAATACATATACAAAAGTATAATATAAAATATGATCAGAATATTTCACAAATTCACCAACTAAACCTTCCCCTAAAACCCCAATACACCCCACTCCTACCTACTTTGTACGATTTTTCATTTTACCCCGCGTGTCATTTGTTTGGTTTTATTTTTCTCTTTGTTTTTTTTTTTTTTTCCTTTCTTTTTTCTCTCTTTTTCAACGGTTCCGATCCAATCGGGATGAAATAAAAAACAAAACAAAACAAAAAGATAGAACTGAAAGAAAGAAAGTAGTAAAAAATAGTAGGAGAATGAGGAGGAGGAAGAGTGAAAGGGGTAAGGGGTAGGAGAAATAAAAAACACACAAAGGAAAATAAAAAAGGTACGGGGTTGGGTAGGGGAAGTGGGTGAGGGAATAAAAAAAAAATTGCACCGAAGCGTTCCAATAAAGTTCTTTGATGATCCCCGGATCCGTTGTTTAGACCGTGCTTGGAATTCACGTGACTTTAAAATCACGTCCCGCGTCGCTGATTTTTTCGGCCATCGAATAAATATTCGGATTTATTTCCTACTAGCCCTTTTGCTTTTTTTTTGTTTTTTTTTTTATCGTGGTTAAATAATAAATTATATTTATTAATATGTAAAATAAATGTTGATGTATTCGTTTAACCCTTATACGTGTCCTACTTGTGTGTATTAATTTTTAAGATAATTTAATTATATATATATAAACACATACACACGTGTAATTATATTTTTTTAATTATTTGCATTAATTTAATACTTATTGCAATATGTTTTAATATAAATAAAAATATGAATCAGTTTTTAATAAATAATTTTAATATTTATTATTTAGATTGTTGATATTAAATTTTGTTTAAATATTTTACTCTATCGTTTTGTTATATATATATATATATGTAAAATAATATAATTAATAATATAAAATAACGTAATTAATATAATAATAATAATTATATTTATTAATTTATTATAATAACATCTATATAATATTATTTATATCTATATATAACATATTATATTATTAAATAACATATTATATTATATAATATGTTATTATATATTATTAATTTTATTAATAATATTATTATATTAATATTATTATAAATAATATTATTAATTATTATTAATTTATATATAAAATTAATATTTAATTATATATATATAATATTACTATATAATATTTATTATATAACATTATATGTTATATATATATGTATAATATAATATAATATTTGAAAAATTGAATTATTAAAAAAAAATCGATATTTCTCATTTTTATTTTATAAAAATTGAATATTATATTTAAAAAAGTGTAATATGCACTGTATAAAAAAAAATAATTACTAAACCCTTAAAAAATCAATTAAATTATTTAAATATATTCAACAACAAAAAATAATAGAAAAGAAAGTTACTTACACTGAAGGGTATAAGTGAATTCTTCACGGAAGGTACCATCCATTGCTGGAACAATGACATTATAACTTGACAACCAACGACCACCTCCAAGATGCGTTTAATCAAAAACCTATAAAATAATAAAAAAAAAAAAACAATAATAAATATCAACACGTTAATAATGTGTTTACATGATTACTAAAGAAAAAGAATAAAATTAAACTAAATTAAATTAAATAAAAAAAAAAAAAACATAGAAAATAAAACCTGCATATACATATATATATATATACACCCAATACACAAACATACACACACACACGTAGGATAAAAGTAGGAAAGAAAAATATATATGAAAAAAATACACCACACGAAACATACACAGGGATGAAAAAATAATAATAACAAAAAAAGAAAAAGAATACATACGCAAACAATATCTACGATACGAAGAGTGGAAAGCCAATACCTTTATCTATCTCACACACAAACTCATATATAAACCTACACATTGATAAAACGTGTCGTTATTATTTTGAATAACGCGTACACGCGCGTGTTGTACACCACCGTTCAATTTCACCCTGGTAAACGTTGTCTACCACCACCACCACCACCCGTTTTTATCTCCCGAACTCGATGTCCCGTCATGCTTCTGTGTTTCCAGCTTTTATTACTATTGTGTCGAGCATACGAATGAATTCCAGGAAATTTTATCCAAACGAAAGCTACCCTACCCCTCTCACAAACCCTCTACCTACCAACCACCACCCCCTCAAACGGTCAACGACGACGCTAGTCGCAATTTGATTCTATGATATCTATTAAATATCGTGACCGTTGTACCAAAAAATACTTTTACGTTATTTCATTTTCTTCTTTAGGTTAAAAGTCGCTTATCTACTCTGTGCCCTCTTTTTTTCGTTTTTTTTTTCTTCTTTTTGTTTTATTTTTCTTTCCCTCTTTCGTGATCTTCTTTTGTTCTCTTTTTCTTCCTTCTCTTGTTCTTTTTTTTTTTTTAATCTTTTCTTGCATCGTTTTATTTCATTTTTGTTTTGTTTTTCTTGTGATTTACGCGAAAATGCATCAATTAAATATAATTTTAAACGTTTAAATGCTATGGGCGCATATATGCGTCCGACAAAAGCAATTAGCAATTGAATTAGGACGCATATATGTGTTCATCAATTTTTTTCACGTGAAATTCATTTTCTTTTTCTTCATTTTTATTTTTATTTATATAATCAAACATACACATTGTTTTGTTTCTTTTTTTGTGATTTACGAAATTGCATCAATTAAATATTATTTAAAAAGTTTGAATGCTATGGGCTCATATATGCGTCGAATGATAGCAATTAACTGTTAAGTTAGGACGCATATATGTGCTCATCAATTTTTTTCATGTGAAATTCATTTTCTTTTTATTTATTTGATCAAACATAATTAAACCTTAACAGAAATATCATCTCGTTTTATTCGTACGTTTTTATTATTAATAAATATTAGCAAGGTATTAATTTCTTTTTTTTTTTTCTTTTCAATTATATTTTGAAATGAAAATTATATTTTTAACTATTGATTGTTTCGTTTGTTTTACTTTTTTATTCTACAATTTTGTAGATTATTTTATAATGATTCGTTGAGGGGAAATATTTTGATTATTATTTTTCACGTTCGTACGTAGAAACTCGCGAATTGGATAATAAATTTGCGGAGGATATTCGAATTGTTTGTTTTTCATTATTAATAGGTCAATATTTTATTCAAAATTGTGAATAACAAATTATGACATTACATATAAATTAACCCAAAATTATTTGAATTATTATTATTATTATTATTATTTGAGATATTATTAAATATTTTATTCAAATTTCCACGAAAAATCAAAAGTCTAAAATTATTGAAATTATTTGTTTAATACATTCGTTATAACAACGAATCATTGTTATCTGTACATTTAAAATAATATTTGGAATTTAATATACGAATTTAAGACATTTTATTTAACTAATAAAATATAATTAAATAAAATAAAACGAGAGAGAGAGAGAGAGAGAGAGAAATCCCTTATTGGGTTGAGAGAAAAAGTTGATTTCGTTTTAGTGTCGTACCAAAATATGAAACAACTTGTTCACAAACTCAATATTTAAATTAACAAATAATTGTTATTTGTACATGAATGTATATACATATATATATGTAAATGATTGATATTTATAAATAATTAAATTAATAAAATATATCTATGAATGATTAGTGCACTGATGATGGTACCTTTGATGATAACAAACACGTACCATTTATGTATGTATCTGTGTGTGTATAGGAGTATATAGAAACCACTAGATGTTACATTTACCTTTTCCGTATCCTCTGGGTCCTAGGGAAATTTAATTCGTAGCAAAGTGTGGGTGCCAGGATGTAGTAATAAAGGTCGCCAAAATTCAGGTTGTCTGGATATTGCACCAATGCTGTGCCACGACCGTTCACTTCGTGCCCGATGTCGTCGCTTTCAACAACGTTTTGGTTCAACTTTGTTGCTGCAAATAATGAAAACACATTTTCCTACTTTTATTACATTATCTTTTATTTCTACCTATTAGTACTATTATTATTATTATTATTGTTATTATTATTTTAAAAAATTAGTACGATAATAAAATATTTTAGGGTTATAGTAATATGCTGTTATTAAATAAACAAAAGAAATTGAATACTTTCTTGATAAATTAAGGGTATTTTTTTTTTTTTATTGTTATAGGAGTCACATCAAATTCTATCTAAATTAAAAAATTGAAAAATAATATTATTACATTGATTATATATATATATCAGCAATTAATAAGCATTATTTAAAACACTAATATATTAAAATAAAAATCATAATTAAATTAATAATTTCTAATAAATAATTGTCATTTCCACTAATGTCCTAAAATTGAAAGCTTGAATTATTCCAAAATAAAATAAATCTTAAATAAAATATCTGTCTAAGAAACCACACATTAACAAAACGACAATCAAAACAAATATGTAAGCAAATATAAAATTAACAAATTGATAAACAATTTTATTTGACTGAATGAACGAATCAAAAAAATGACAAAAAATTCTGATAGAAAATTCCCCTCCCCCTCAAAAAAAGAAAGCAAACCAAAGAGAAGAACAAAAAACGAAAGAAAAAAAAAAAAAGAAACTAATCTGTTCAATCGAGTTTCATGATTTTAAAATAGTCCTTCATCGTCATTAAAAGATACGGGACACGTAAAGGACACGACTTTCGATAGTTGGGGGATGGATCCCTCTCGAAATTCTCAGCAGTTCGTTTAATCCTTTCCACCGTGTTAACCCAGGACAGGTAACAGATAGAATTCCCCCTCAATTATCCAAATCCGATGACTAATCCAATTTGGAATTCAAATAAGGTAACGCGACGGTGGCTGCTGCTACTGCTGTTCCTGCTGTTAGAGACGTATATGTGTCCCTTTGAATTTGGGATAGGTGCCCTTACTACGTTTTCAAAGGGTTCCTCAACTAACGATCGTTACAAGATTCGCACCTAGAGAAAAGGGTTGATTTTGAGCGTAGAAATATTGTGAGACAGAAAGATGATAAAAGTGAAAGTTAGAAGAGGTGTTAAGAAGAAGAAGAAGAAGAAGAGGAGAAAGGATAGGAAGGGAAGAGGGTGGTAGGGGTTGGATTGTGCCAGTGGGTACAAGGAAAAAGGGGTTGGGGGTGAATGAAACGACGAGACGTTTTATTCGTACACGCTTCGAGTAAAGCTCGTAATAAGCGAACCAAAGAATTCGTCTAAATTAAATTCTTTCTACAACCCCCTACAAATTTTTTCCTCCCCTTTTCCCACTTCTACCATCTCTTCTTCTTCTTCTTATTATTATTATTATTATTATTATTATTATTATTATTATTATTATTCATTGTCCTATTTTTTATTTTTTTTATCGCTATTATTATTAGTTCTTTCCATCATTTCCCGTTTAACCTCGAGCTTTTATTCTTATTTTTTTTTAATTTCTTTATTTCCTTTTGTTTTTTAATTTTTATGAACCCTTTTTTTTCTTTTATTTCATCTTCTCAATCTTCTTTTTTATTAGTTGTGTGTAATTATAGTAATTAATGTTAAAAGTAATCAGATAATAAAGGAAGGTTATAAAAGTGAGGTTATGATAAAAGTAATATTCTTTGATTATATTACATGTGTGTATTTAAGTGTGTGTGTGTGTGTGTGTGTGTGTGGGAAATATTAAGTTTATTAAAATGCATTTTATAATTTTGTTAATTGTATGATTTTATTCCTATTATCATTTTCTTTTATTTTTTTATTTTTTATTTTCTAATAATATAATCTAATTGAGATAATTATATTATAATAAATGAGAACTGTAATAGTAACTGTTAAGTGCAATCAGACTATAGAAAGATGTTAAAAGTAAGGTTATGTTCAAATTTAAATCTTTGATTATTTCCTATAATTAAAAAAATGAAATCGAATAAACCATAATCTATTATTAATTAGACCATTTTTTAATCTAATTTGTATTATTATTTTCTTTTTAATTTATAAAAATTAATACAATACATATATCGTAGTAAATATAAACTACAGTAAAGTAATAACTGTAAAGTGCAGTCAGACGATAAAAAAATCTTAAAAAAGTGAGGTTAGGATAAAATAATCTAAAAAAATCACACAAAGTTACCGTAACAAAACTTTCTTATTTAAAAACAAAATAATAAAACTGTTTAAATCGTTAAACTGTATAACAATTAAAAACTAAAGTAATTAAAATGAAATTTGGTCAGAAATTAGAAAAAGAAAAGATCATCAAAGCAGAAGAAAACGTTTCATATGTGAACTAATCTTTGATGATAAACGCACGTAGAATAAAAAATGGAGTTAATTAAATCAAATGATCCTTTTTTTTTTTTTTAAAAAAACGTATAACTCAATTATCTTCCTCTCTTTCTCATTCTTTCTTTCTCACTTTTCTCTCTCTCTCTCTCTTTCTCTCTCTCTCTCTCTCTTTCACTCTCATTTTGAAAAAGCTGCTGGATTCTCCGGTTCGTCGCGGATCAACCGCACGACAAGTCCGAATAACCGCGACAATGGCGCTTGCAAACCTTCCCCCTTTCTCCTCCAACCCCTATGCACCCTATCAACCCTCTCAACCCATCCACACGTTCTCTCCTCTCTTTCTACTACCCCTCTACTACTCCCCCCTACGGCGGCTTGGCGGTTTTCACGCGAAATTCCGGAAATAATGAAACACAAAAAAAAAAAACAGAGAAATAAAAGTGCCAATGGAATTTTTCATTTGTAATCCCAATGTGCCATTCGATGATTGTGAAAACACTGTACGAGCAAACAAACAAAAATCTACTAGCTCTTTCTTTTTTTCTTTCATTGTTATAATTATCATTATTTTATTATTTTTTGAGTAATTTCCCCCACCCCTTTTTTTGGTCTCGGTTTGGTTGCTTCTTTTTTGATTAAACATCTTTTCCTTCTTCACGTGTATTTATACTTTTTTGTTTTGTTTATTTTAACTTCGTTCCACACTTCACGAATCATACAACCATTCCCAAACGTCAACCATCACCACCACCAACCTCCTTTTCAATACTTCAATCCATTTCCATCACCATTTTTGTTACTTCTGTATAGACGACGTTACGGATAAATAAAAAAAAAAAAAAAGAACATTTTCAATTGGCAAAACGGTAGGTAGAATAAATATTTTTTCACATTACAATATACTGTATATTCTTTCTCCAATTTTAGTTTCGTTTCGTTGTTTGTATGGTTACTTTTATTATGTTCCCATTAATTTGTTACTTTTAGTATTTTACCTACAATGCTTACAACGTTTTGCAATATTTTGCAAAGTTTTTACAAATGATTAAACTCTGTTATAATACTACGTTAAAAGATATTCATTTGTTACAAAAAAAAAAAAAAATTTCAATTAATTTTTTAATTTCTATTATAAAACGAACAAACAAATAAAATATATAATAATTAATATTTAATTTAAAATAATATATATATATATAATTAATTGCAATTATTTTGGATTTTATTTTACAGATGCACATCACTCGACGTTGAAATTATTTATTCGATTATTTCAAATAACAGTGGTGAAGAAAATCAAATATAATTTATTAATTATATATATATAATATATAATATATAATTATTATTATTTATATAATATTAATATTTATAATTATAAATTTATTTTTTTTTTATTATTTTATTTTTTATATTTTTATTTTATTTATTTTATATATTATAATTATATATAATAATAATATTTATAAATTAAATATAATTATAATATATTTTTTTATAAATAATTTATCTGTATAATATAATATAACATAATATATTAATTATACGTATAATTTATTAATAAGGAATGCATGTTCAAAAACCTATTCCCTTTCGTATTTTTTTTTTTGGTTTCTATTCTTTCCTTCATTCTTTTTAACATTTTTTATTTTTTTTCGTATTAAGAAAATCGATATTTTTTTTTTTTTTTTTTTTAATACCATAAAAGTAAAGTTTTTTATCCGAGCGGCTATAAAATTAGGCTGAACTAAACGACCCAAGAAGCAATCTATTGGTACGGGGGAATTGCACGCTTGGAAATTGGAGCCAATCGACGGCGTTGCTTCGATACCATCAAGGCTTAATTCGTAAGATGTCTATGTCGTCACGTTTTACTTCTCTCTTTTTACTTTCGACTTTATTCGGCTCGTTTTTCAACCCCTCACCCTCATCCCTACTTCCTTTTTCCTTTCCCCCTCTTCTTCCTACTCCCCACCGTATTTCAACCTTCCTAACATATCACTTCTTCTTCTTCTTCTTCTTTTTCTTCTATTTTCTTTTTTTTTTTTTTATCTTTCTACTTCATCTTCTTCTATTCTTAACCTTCACATTGGATTCTTTTTATTCGACTAATGTCACATCGAAATTACTTTTCGAGTAATCGAGTATCACGAGGTTAAGCTCTTCTACAGGTAATTTTAGATAAAAATGCAATGTGAAAATATCTTGCGATTAAAATTGTAAGAAAGACAAAAGAAAAAGGAATATAAAGATATTTTTACGAATTTAAATAAAAAAAGGGATTATTAAAATTAATGACAAGGATTGGTATTAAAAGATCAGAATATATATATATATACGAAGAAAATCCTTTTTTCTTTTTTTTCGTACTTTTAAAATAATAAGAAAAAATTCTGATGTCTTCAAATGATGACAATTAAAAATAGATACGTAAAAATATATTTAAAATGACATATGAAAATGATATTAAAAAATCTTTCAAGTTTCTAAGAATATCGAAAATAGGTTATGTTATATAATTGTATTATTTTTTAAGTTATTGAAATAAAAAACATTATATTAATGTTATCAAAAGATATATAATATCATTACGATTAAATATAACAATTATTTATTATACTCTATGTTATTTTGTATTATATTTAAAAAAAACAACTACCAAAA